AAATAAATAAAAAATAAAATCTTAACTTTATTAAGCAAGGCTTGGATAATAAGAAATCATTTACTGGCCTGACTCTTGATGTCCTTAATAAAGTAGCCAAATTGTCATAACGTATAGATCTGGACCTACCGCTAGACATGGGTTAGAAGAGTCGCCACCAATCTTTTTTATTGAAGTGTGATTGGCCACCTAATTGAATTTGATCTACGAAATCATAATTTAAGTTTGAGAGTATAGTTACGCTTAGGGAAGGTTATAGCACTCCCATAGCTTATCCAAAATATGGTACCAGTTAGATTTCAGATTATCCAAGCCTTGATCATATTTGTGATTTACCAGATAATTTAATATTGAAAATATATCTTAAATTTGTCCCAATAGTTTGATAGCAATTTAAGATAATTCTCTCACATCAAGAGTATTCATGGAGACTAAAGTCACACTTTGAAGAAGCTCAATTGTCGAATTTTTTAATTTATGTTATTTCAAAAAATTTAGTAAAGTCTCTCAATAGTTTGATAGAATTTACTTTGAAACAACCCTTCAATTGTTTGAAGGACAAATTTGTCTTTTTATTTAAACTGATTCATGGCATTTCCCAATAGTTTGGTGGATTTCATTTCAAAAATTAAATCAATGAAAATTCCTCAATAGTTTGATAAAATTCATGAATTTATTTTGTAGGGATTTTTTATTTGAAAAAGATTTTCTACTTCTTTTTTTTTTTGAAAACTTATTTGAAAAGATCTTTTTCTATATAACTATTTTTTAAAAGAAATAATTTTTACAAAATAATAAAATTTCTCAAAAATAAAACCAAAAAAATAAAATAAAATGAGCTAAAAAATAAAATAAAATCAAATCAAAAAATAAAAATAAAATGGAAAAAGAAAATCTTGCGATCGGGTTAGGTTAACGCGGGTCAGAGCGCAAGTCAATGGGTCAGAGCATAGATCTAGGTGCTCCAAAACACTGTCATTTTGGGACGTTATATAAGCCACTTTTTAGCATTTTGCATCAGAAGCACCTTGCTCTCCCTCTCTCTAGATCAATAAGCTCTAACTTCTCTCTAGAAATTCTTCAAGAACACGTCAAAAACTTCAACCGAAAACTGACAAACCCATCGGCTTCTGAGAAAGTCACTAAAAATTCAATTGAAAATTGAAAAACCCATCGATTTTTGAAATATTGGCCGAAATTTGGCTGAAAAATTCAATCGGTTGTTGAAAAATTCATCGAAAAATTCATATTTTTCCCAAAACCCTAGATTTTTTCAAAAAATCCTAGAAATTTCCCAGATTCTCCCAGATTTGTCCAGATCTCATCAGAAATCCTCTAATAACTTAAACCATACCCCAAAAACCTAGAATTAAACTAAAAAACTTCCAAACGAACCCAAAATAAAAAATCACAATCCTAGAACTTCTATTCTGCCCAGAACATGTTTCTTAGAATTGCAACACCCAAAATTTTCCAATTTTTCCACTGTGTCTCCCCAGCCCATTCCTTGTGTTCTTTTGTAGTGTTAGTTTGATTTATAGGCATCCTTAAAAAAAATTTAGGAAACAGACAGAATCAATCTAGGCTTGAATCCTAGGATTTGATTCTGTTTGAACCTCAATACATGTCTAGGTTTATTGCTGCTTTCTTGGATTGATTGAAAAATCCCTTTGATTATGAATTAAAGCCTTTTGACTGCATTGAATTTTTGAATTTCAATTTCCTGGATTACCGGTCAAAAAGAAAGGAAAAAGGAATAATAATAATAATAATAATAATAATAATAATCATAATAACATACTATATCATATAATATATTAATATACTATACTATAATATAAATCAAATAATATAAATACACAAACTAAAAACAAATCGACCTAACTGAGCTCGGACACATATGGTGTCTCAAAGAGTATTGCCAGTTTTCAAGGAATTTCAGCTTTCAATTTAAAAAAAAGGATAAAATTAGAAAACATATGTAATTAAAATAGTTTAATCATGAAGAATTGATTTTAACTTATTAAAATCTTCAATACCTATAAAGTCTGGAAGAGTTCTTCCATTAGTGAACGTACCGGTCAAGTGTTCGCCAAAATTCAGGCCGTAAGTTGGGTAATTTGCCTTGGCAACAGTTGGAAGAAGATTGTTGTGGCCACTGTCAAACAATGAATCTCCGAACACATACAGAGCCGGTACAAGAGGCTTACTGTGAATTAGCAAGAAGATATGAAGGAAAGCAACTAAGAATACGTTCGACGAAATCAAGTTGCTCCTCATCTTTCCAAATGAAAATATTATTTGTGTAAGAAAAAGTTAGAAGAGTGGAACATCAAAGGCCAATTGAGCTTGAAAAGAGTGGAAAAAAAATTTTGATTATCAGTCGCAATGATGCATAGTTTTTTTCCCCTTAATGCATAGATTGTGGTTTAATCTTTTGACCTGAAATCAAATCAAGCCAGCCAGCATTTTCTTCTTCAGCGGAGAAAATATTTTTAATGACCAAGTATGCCAAGAATAGGACACAACTGAAATGAAAGTACAACCAACGCCATACAGAATTTCATGAATATCACATGAATTTTTTTACTTTTTATGAGATTTAATAATTAATTTGAAATTGTTTCATTCGAATTTTGTTTCTGTTTTCACTTCTATAATTATCTGCATCATTAATTATTGCATTCAAAAGGGAAAAAAAAAAAAAAAAAACCACAACAGAAACTTATTTTAAATTACTGACGAAATCAAATCGGATTATCAATCATATTTGACTCTTCATAATAATTAATTATTCATCAAGATATATCATTTCGTGTTCAAGGATGAGATTAAACCTCTTTCTAAGTAACAACAACTCGAGTATTTTAACTGATTCATTTTAAGCATTATAATACATATAATATCTAATTTGCATAGGCATCACTTAAGTAAAAAAAAAACCTTGCATTAGTTGGCAAACGAGTTGGCCATGAACGTGCTGAAAATGAGATGAGAACCCTACTATCTTCCACGTAAAAATCTTGATTATCTCAAATAGTATTTAATAATTCCAAAAAATAATAGTAACAATTGTGTCACATCGCCACGAAAAGAAGTTAATAATGGTGCAACGGACTGCTTTTTTTTTTTTTAATAATTCAAATTTTGTTTATCATCCAGAGAATTCACAATTAACCATTAAAATCTAGCAACTATATCTTTTCCAAATTAAAATTGATAATCCTGTGATCGAATTATTGTAAACTTGTATGCATCTTCACGTCTTAATTAACTAGCTGCTTTAAATTAAGAGGAAGCAAACAGTACTGTCATTGATGCAATGACGTGCTATAGCTGAATAGACAGTTTCAGTAAGATGCGAAGCATCCCAAAAGTAGTTTGGTTTGAGTTGGGGCATGAAGTAAGAAATGCTACGTCGCTTTCATATATTTCTTTAACTATATTATTGTATTGTATTTAAAAATATCAAATTATTAATAAAAAATATCAAATTTAGATATATATCTATATATATATATAATTGATAGAAAACATAGAGACGAAGTTTTTAGATAAAATTTTTATTAAAAACGGTTAAATAAAAATTAAAATAAAAAATCAAAATAGATAAAATAAAAGTTCTTATTACATAAATCAAATTTATAAATTTTTTAAAAAAAATTAATATATTTTAATATATTTTTAAATAAGTATTTTTAGTGAAAATTTTGACATGATTTTTATTGTTAAATAAATATTGATCAAAACTATGAATGATATTTTTATTATTTTTTACATATTATTAATTTTTTATTAAATTTTATCAATCTATCATTTTGAATTTTTATTATAATTTTATTAAATTATTTAAAAAAATAAAATTGACCCTAGTGGATATGGTAATTGAACATATTTTTTCCTTTGCATGTGCCCCATTAAGAAGGGTAAATCATAATGTTTCATTTTATTACTTTTTTTTTCACATAAATAATTATTGATGTTAACATGCATGTGATGTGATTCGATGAGATATTCTTACTAAACGTTGCATGATTTCTTTTCCAAATTAAAATTGATAATCCTGTGATCGAATTATTGTAAACTTGTATACGTCTTCAAATATTAATTAACTAGCTGCTTTAAATTAAGAGGAAAGCAAACTGTACTGTCATTGATGCAATGACTTGCTATTGCTGAATTGAGTGTTTCGTTAAGATGACAAGCATAAGGGTTGGAGTAAAAAATGGTACATCGCTTTCATACATTTTTTTATTATATTATTATATTATATTTAAAATTATCAAATTATTATTAAAAATTATTTAATCTATATATATATATATCATGGATAGAAAAGACTTAGATAAAATTTTTAGATGCAATTTTTTATTAAAAATAATTAAATAAAAATCGGAATTAAAACTCAAAATCGATAAAATAAAAATTTTTGTCATATAGATCAAATAAATACATTTTAAAAAAAATTAATAAATTATGATATATTTTTTAAATAAGTATTTTTAGTGAAAAATTTGACATTAATTTTATCATTAAATAAATATTAATCAAATTCAAATTATAAATAATATTTTCATTATTTTTTACATATTAATTTTTTATTGAATTTTATCAATTTATCGTTTTAAAATATTTATTATAATTTTATTAAATTATTTTTAATAAAAAATTCTACCAACTGTATTTAAAATATTTTATTTAAATATTACTCTCGTGGATATGGCAATTGTACATATTTTTCCCTTTGCATGTGCCGATTAAAAAGGATAAAGTATAAATGTTTTCTTTTATTCCTTTTGTTTTCACATAAATAATTATTGATGTTAACATTCTTGTGATGTGATTAGATGAGATATTTTTTTAAAACGTTGCATGATTTCTTTCACTGCAAGTACTGGCCATGATTTTGATAATTTTTATAGTCAACAAAAAATTTATTTTGCTGCTATCTTTGGACGGTAAGTGATTGAAGTAAGTAAGAAAAAATGTTAGGGCTAGCAATGGAAATCAAAAGTTCAAAGCAGTGTAGATATGTAGGGTGGCATGCACCTAGGTTTGTCAAAAGTCATTACTCATTATTCGGATTAAGTGTCAATTATAGGTCTACTGCAGCGGAACATACTGCATCTTCCTTCAGTAGTGCATTTGTTGTGAGATCCATATATACTGCACCTTCCCTTCCCCTCTCCTTCTCTTCACTTCAAAATTCTTAAAATCTGTAGCGATTGTCCCGTCTTTCTTTCTCACACAACAGTTTGAAACTTTTAGCACCTCAATGGCTTTCATTTTGCTAGTTGTCTTGGTTTGCTTAGTCTGTTTTTTCAGTGCTTCTATGTCATTCATATTTATTCTGAATCTATTTACCACCTGATTTTCAAGAATAATCAAACTGCCTTCCTCCAATATCTAGCTTCCGAAAATTTGTCTCTCGATTGCCAGCTCTATATGTTTTTGGAGGACTCGTATATAGATGCTGTAATAACAATTTTTCTTGACACAATAGCCAAAGCCAATTTCTTACCATATGGTATTGATTTTGGAGGAGTGCCAACCGGTCGTGCCACCAACGGGAGAACCGTTGTGGATTTTATTGGTACAGGGATTGTAATTTTTTTGTATTCCATGCTACTTGTTGCTTACTTTATATTGGCAAAAATATGATTTTTGGTTCATGTTGTATTTCTTGTAAGTTTGCTTTTCTCTGATTTCTGATATTCACTTTTAATGATGAAGCTCAAGTTGCTGGCCTGCCATTTCCACCCCCAATGCTCGGATTGTCTGAAACCGAGAGGAAAATCTTTGTTAGTGGTGTAAATTATGGCTCTGGTTCTAGCGGGATACTGCCTCTGCCTCCTCCTGCTGTGGAAATATTTGTGAGTTATCTTAGCCACAAAAATAAATTTGCAATTTTTCTTGCTTCAAGTTATTTTTCCTAATCACTATGTGAAATTTAGAGTACCAAAACTTAAACTTCTGAGTACAATTGACCTTTTGTATATAATACTACACCAGGACGTATTTTGAGCTTCGATGAACAAATAGAGTTGTTGAACGACACAACAAGAAGCTTGAAGGGTCATTTTGACAGCCCTGAAAGCTTTTCTCTACCTGTCTAAGTCATTGTTCTTTATCCACATAGGGACCAATGACTTAGGCATATATTGGGATCTTGAACAAAAGCGAAAGTTCCGAACTGCAGAAGATTATGCACTCTTCTTATCGGAGGAGTTGTCCGGTAGATTGGAGGTAAATGACTGTTTTAAATTTATCTTTACATAGTATTGAAATTGTATATTCAATTTTATACATTTTTAATGATCATGATGCAGGCAATATACCAACTGGGAGCAAGGAAATTCCTGGTTAACAATGTTTCTCCATTAGGCTGCCAACCTTTCAATCTGAACACAAAAATGCACAATACTTCCTGTGTTGAAGATGTTAACCAGAGAATAGCTTTCTACAATGGACTCCTTCCCAACTTGTTGACAAAGTTGGAAACATCCTTGAAGGGTTCCACATTTGTGCTGTGTGATCTATATAAAGTGTTTGAAGATGTTTACACTCAACCAGCAGCATATGGTGAGAATTGTTAGGAAAAGAATACCACACCAAAATTTTCTCTCTTATTTAATAAAATATTATGAAACATTTAGTTCATTTGTTCTTTGTTAATGCAGGGTTTACGAATGTCAATGGTTCTTGTTGCATTGACGAAGCGAGGAATGGAACTAGAGGATGCGCCAGAAATGTTGCTCCTTGCGCTGACAGAACGAGCCATGTCTTCTTTGACCCATTCCATCCGACCGAGAGTTTTCATTTCATTTGGATGAGGCGCTTTTTGAAGGACCACTCTGTCTGTTCTCCATTTACCTTGTTTGAGTTAATGCAACTTTAAGGATTTCTCTAGGAGTACTGTTTATATACTTTCAGTTAATTTCGAATGATTTAATTTTAAGAATGTAGTGAAACAATGTTGTTGGAAGTTGTGTTTTAAAGCTTATCAGATCACACTCTCATTACTCATTGTCTTTTAAGTGGTTCAAGTCATTTCACATTGTTGCAAATATGATGCTTTATTCCCTTTTTATGCTTAGCTTGATGCGAACAAATCATAGATACCATCAATCAGTTACTTTTGAAGCAGCCCCTGCTCAAAAACAGGCCCAGCTGCTAATAAATATTCTAATTTGATTCTTAGTCTTCTCTTTGGCATAACTAGATTTTAGGCAATTTGCTAATTTTTTTTCAATAATTAAAATTCTTTTATCAGAAGAAAAAAAAAAGCAGGGAAAACTTGCTACAAAGAGCAATGGAGTTGTACCATGACAGGTTACAAAACCAAAAGAAAAAAGACAACTGCATCATCTGAACAAACCAATTAGCTATCTACTCTTCAATCTGAAAACCAAATGACTGGTTTGACACTTTAAAGTCTTCCTACCCCACTGAAATTCTTCACCCAATCCCCAGCCTGTCTTGTCAACAAGGAGACTTGCAACACTTTTTAATAAAAAATTAAAAGTAAACACTTTT